GAAATAAATTTAGTCTCGATTTAGAAGTTCTGACATAAATACGTGTATATGATGGCTCAAGAGCAAATTGTGACATCCAACGAATTGTATAATTTATTGGAAAATTTCGAGTTGCAACTTCCTTCATCAGAAGTGCTCCCGTCCAGCTTCGTTCCTGTAGAGCAACCAACCAAAAAATCTGCGACAAAACGAAAACAAAGTGCGTCGGTCGTATCCCGCAAGAAGAAGAAGAAAACTACCACAAGTGAAGCGTTTGCAGCTCCAACTTCATCCGCTGATTGGCTCGAAGTGTTCACGGACGGTAGAGAAAAAAGTGTCATTTGTGAGGCATTCAATTTAAAAAGAAACTTGGCGTCTCAGTTGTCGGGATTAGAGTGCAATATCAACGAAATTGAAACACAAATTGCGCTTTTTAATACAGACTTGCAAGTGGCGCGGCTGCAAGCTCAAGAGTGCAAAAGAAAACTAGAACAATTTAATAATTTAGCATTTAACGAAATTGTAAAATATTAATAATGTATATAATAAATAAATTATACAATTACAAACTTCTGTTTAATTATTATGCGGTGTTGTGGTGGTGGTAAAAAATAAAATAGCGTCTAAATATATACATGTTTATTCTTGTTGCAATACAATGGAATACAATCAATACATAAAAGCCTTATCTACAGTTACATATTTTATAATAAAACCACAGTATTAATAGTTCAATAGGCTATCAGAAAAGCGTAACTTTTTTCCATATTTCCCCTCACCGTGAAGCATTAAATTACATTCATCTTCAGTTTCTACAGTGAACAAAACTTCTTCCAAGCAGCTTTGACACCAAAATTGTTTATCGTGATATACATCATTCAAATTATTTATATCCAGCTGTAAATGATAGTGATCCAATAAAAGTCTAAAATTTTTCTTTTTAAATTTTTTAACTACTTGAAATATAAAGTGACAAGATTTACAAACTAAAATTTCCGAATATTTTATCCTGTAATAACTGACCCATAAACAGTAAGCGGATTCTCCGTCAAAATCAATGGTTGGAGTTGCCAAAATGCTATTTCTGTAAGACGATCCAAATCTCTTATTCAACAGAATGAATTCTAAATTTAATAAAGAATTGCCATCAGACTGGAGCGCTAATTGTTTAAGGTACCTCCATCTATATTTCGAATAATATTTAAATATTAGTATCGTTAGTTTCCAAGGCAAAGGTGACTCACGCAAAAAATCAGCACTACACCTAATATTTTCGCAAATTGTTATAATACAAAGGCTTTCTAATGTAAATTGTTTGACCATAATCTGTAACAAAAATATATTAAAAAATAATTACGGCACTTTATAATGTCCCCACGGAAGCGTTTGATATGAATTCGGCAAAAGATAACGTTTATCGTCTAAAGGACTCAAGGCAACTTTTGTTTGTTCGATGCTAAATACATTGTGAGTGTATGAACGAATGGTTCGTTGAGTGGCGTACTTTTCCCTAAAATTTGTTAAGCATTCTACGTAGTCATCAAATGAAATTTTATTTTTTACAATATTGTACTGAATACCCTTTGACTTTTTAACTACCGAACCCGTTAAAATTTTGAAAGTATACATTTTCGACCTTAACCCCGCATAATGACTAATGATGGTGCCATTAGTCTCATCCTTCATCAACCCCAAAACCTTTTTGTTGATTTGCGGTATATTATAAGGATTGTCATTAGGATAATCAGACGTATCAAATTTTGTTAAATCGGCCTTAATAACGCTTTCATATGCGTCATAACATTTGATATTATAAATGAAACTGTCCGTATCCATGTATTGAATTTTACATTTTTCGGGACCCAAATTTGGAAGCATGTAATTATAATGAAACTCGTACATGGTCGTTTTCGACAAATCCAATATGGACATTCCAATATAAATTGGCTTATTAAAGCAAAGTTCCGATTTTTTTAATTCTATAAGCAACAAATTGTTATCAAGTATGGTTCTACTGTGAAATCTAGGACTAGAAATTAAATTTTTCGCACCGTAGCGACCATCCCACGCTTTAACAAATTTAACAATACGATGCTTGCGAATGTTTTGCATTGTTTTACCGTAAGCGGCATTATTAAACAATTTGTATAAATTTATACCAAATTTTGTCTTTGCTTGGGTTCTTAATTTATTATTATGATCGATATAACATTTCAACCAACGAGATTGGTTAAATTTTAATATTTTGTGAATTTTCTTTAGTACGAGACCGTTTTTGAGAGCCTGTTTTAAATTGCGATAGTGTATGACGTATTTTTCTTTATTATACAAAGTGGTCATTAGTTTTGGTAACTTTGAATTGGGGGGCACTCGATGTTCGGCACAAAATGGAAAATCTCTATGTGTGTCATGTAATTTCTGCTGGTATTCCAGGTCTACCTCTAGGATATATCCTTGGGAAGATTCATCTGGAATGTTCATGACATTAAATGAATCAATCTCTTGATGAGACATGCAGTCGAATCCTCCGTAAGGAAGAGGCTCGCACATGGCCTTGCCATAGAGGTTATTGACGTCAAAGTACATGATATAGGAATCATCCCTGGATGAATCGTAGTTGGGCATATATTTATTGTTGGCCTCCGCATATCTACCAACACACACCGAAATTCCACCTCGTATAGCCCGCTCGATAAACATAATTTGGTCAATGTCGCGCAAAAGTTCTAAACGACATTTTGTGAATCTAAGCATGCAATCCCATGTATACCCGGGCATACTGAAATACCACGCCGGATCCAAAACGTGTGTTGCCATACAAGTTTTTCGAAAATTTTCGAATATATCTGCCAGAAGAATAACGTCGGTTTTTAAATACAAATCTGAATACTCGCCTAAATTTTTTATTTCAAACGACTGCCAAACACTTTGTGCGTGGGAATATTTTTCTTCACTAATATTGCTTTCACTTAATATATTATAGAATTCTTCAATCGGGTGTAAAGTTGTTTCATTTAATTTGTCTATATGGTCGATGTAATCGTAACAAAAAATACCTTTTTGCGACAGTAAATTTAATTTTGATTCGTCGAGATCGGAAAATTCTTTTCTTAAAATATATAGTTCATTTTTATCCATACTGGAAACTAAATTATCCAGAGATGCTCCCAAAAATCTAAACGAATCTATAAATCTAAATTTTATGTTATAATCAGGTTCGAAATATGTAAAAGAGATGTATTTTTCCTTATTAACCGGAACTATGGATACATAGCTTTTTTTGCTAAAACCGGAAGCAGGAAGTGGCTATCGTATCCAGAAAGGTTCTGGAATACTACGGGCAATACAAATATTTTTTTAAAATTTAAATTACAAGCCTGATGGGCAAAACCTCTAAATTTACCAGTAAAATGATCATGGTCACGAACAATAACATCTTCTTTTAAAAAAGGTTTTTCACAAATATGACAATGGCTCGACCTTTGATCTAGACTAATTTCACTATCCATTGGTATAATATCCATAAATTTTGAACGAACAAATTTTGATAAATTAGATATTTCCTCCACGAACCAATCAATACAATCTAGACCACGATAACTATTGAAAAATGATATTGAATCATCATAAGAACATTTAAAGTAATATGCAGCACTGTAAGCTTCGTGCTTTTGATATTTCGAGGTTTTATCTGAAATTTTCAAATTTACTTTTCTCAATTGACTCTCAAAATCGGCGTAAATTACAAACGGAGTCCTTTGTTTATATATATGGTTTCGAAATTCAACGTAATCATATTTGGGAAAAGACACTTTATACTCATTGAAACTGGAACACATTGTTTCGTGGTCATGTAGACAAGTTTCGTTATTGAAATAATTCAAACACCTATCGCAAATGTATTTCTTGTGATTATATTTACTGAGCTGTGAGGAAACTAATCGAGAGAAATTTTTAATGTAACAATAGTGATATTTTATTTCTTCATGATCATTATCTTGCGGATCAGGATCAAAATCATTAACTTTGGGATAATATTTATTTTGTATTAACAACAAATTTGAATGTTTTTCGCGTTTTTCTTTTGTTAATCGTGCAGGTAACACGGAATAAAAACTAGTTTTTTCTTTTTTATTAAACTCTAAAATATAAACATTGATGGAAATATCATTGTCTTTTTCAAATTTGCTTATTTTATTCATTTCCATAGGTGTTTGTAAATTTTCAGTTTTCAAAACACTTTTGTAGTATGGATATGAAGAGGGTAAATACTGACGAAAACGTGCTGGAAAGAGTCCGCATACAACTGACCAATAAAAACACGCTTGTTCGTCATTTCTAATGTTAATACAAGGCAACTCAACGAAGGATGACCCGTTACCCATTTCAAATTTATTAATGTTAATCTCTAAATAAATAATATTATTTAAAGCCCACCCGGAATCACGTTCCTGAAACTCTGACATTTGATTTAAAATTTTATCTTGCACATTTTCAACAAACCAATCATTCAATTCTGTTCCTAAATCAACTACAGCATTTCCGGTACTCAGATATTTAACATCAACTTCGCCTTGGACATCATTTTTTGCCTTAATAAATTCACCGCAAAATGTGGTATTTACTTTCAGCAATAAAAATTTCTTTAAAATTTGACTAATTTTTTGTTGAAAAATTGGACGACAATCGTTTAAAAATTGAATTAAATCTTTATGAAGTAAATTAATTATGACACCGGTCTGAACTCTTCCCTGGAAACACGACGCTACCGATTCCCATACAACCATTTCATTTGTATTTGTCTCGCGGCTACTACTTTGTAATCCCAATCCAAAATGCTTATGTTGATAATTAAGAATAATTTTTCTAATAGCTTTCAGATGTTGAATTGTAGTTTGTAATTTTCTTTTTAACCCAATAGATAAATCCTTTTCGTTAGAGACGATTTGGTTGCAAGATTCAATATTTTTATTTAGTCTCCTAAGCCACACATCACTATCTCTAAGAGTAAACTTGTCGGAAATATGCTTTTTTAATTTTTGTAAGGTTAAAATTAAGATTTGCGCTCTATGAATGATCTGCTTTACGCGCATCGTGGTTTATTAAATATATAACAGTAAATAAGACTTACCCTGTATAATATGTTGATTAATTTTGAATTATTTTGAATTTCTTTAAAGAGTTGGGCTTTCCAATATCTTTGGATCCCTCGTAGACCAGTTTGTACTGCCCCGACGCAAAGTGTTCTAGTCTCGGACGGAAAGCTTCTGTCACGCGAGTAGGAAGAAATACTACGGAATTTTCTAATTGCAGCAACACGGAATTGCCAAATTTTGTATTAACAATTTTGGCTCTAGTAATTTTAAACGGAACGCCTATCGGCAATTCATGCAGTTTGACAATCGGCTGCTCAAAATCACCTTCTGCAAGACAGGTTTGATTCAGTTGACTTAAGTCCATCTATAAATTATTATTAATTATTTTATCTCAAAATAAAAAAAATAAAAAAAACTTACGCTTAAGATTGCTGCTATTCTATTTGCGGTTACGGGTTGAGAGTACTAAGATGATCTTTAAGACCTTTATAAAATAATAACAAATGTTAAAGAATTAAAATAAAACAATAAAAAAGGTACTTACTGCTTTTTTGTACGAACACCAAACCACTAAGTTAGCTTCCACGTTGCACGAATAATACCAAAAACAACTACTGACAAAACAGAGAAAAATGAGATGTATTTATACGGTGCGAGAATACTTTCTAAAAGTTAACAAACAAAGACACCTCCACATGCGTTGCAACAAATTTTTCCCATTACGTTAATCCCACGGAGCAAATATAAACGGGCAATTAATTATTATTCTCAACAAGCAAAACAACTTGACATTTAGACTCGGCGCGTTTTGAAATTCCACATCCCATACGGAGATTGTAAAAAATGAAAGCAAGTTGGCCTTGATCTTTTGCGGCAACATACGTTCGTCCAACGTCCGAAGCGGTTGCGTCTCAAGTCGTTCCCGTGTGAAAGCGTGTTGACCCTGAGACTCCTACCTGCACGGTTGTCTGGCGACAACATCGCGTCTATTCAAATCGGCATTGGTGCTTGTGGGTAGAAGACCTTTCGACTTTTAATTCAACCATGGAAGGGAGTGCATGTGTATAAATACGTTGCATGTGTATTATAAACTATATTCAGTGCAATGAATACAGAAGTGCGATGTCCATTTCCCTACGACCCTACAACTGGTAAGTTTTATATTTTAAATACATTTATACAGTGCGCGTCTTTTCTTGTGGGTTTCAGTTTGGGTTATCACTTTTTTGGTTAGTTTCTACCTGTTTTTAAAATATGATACTCATCTTTTTTACGTTGAATAATAACCGATTTAAATTGAGTGTTTTTAATATCTTTTAAATGACTGTGAATAGAAAAGGGAATTTTGGCTTTTAAAAAATAAACAATTTTTAAATTTGTTTCAAAAATGTGCGTTTTATGGGGAAAACGCGAAATATATACATATTTTTGTTTTATTTTTGTACTGAAAAATTGCAGTTTGCCCTTTTGACATTAATAATCGAATTAAATTGAGTGTTTTTAATATCTTTTAAATGACAGTGAATAGGGAATTTTGGCTTTTAAAAAATAAACAATTTTTAAAATTATTTGATGACCCCCCACTTACTGAAAGTTTTGTTTCAAAAATGTGCGTTTTATGGGGAAAACGCGAGAAATATACATATTTTTGTTTATTTTTTGTACTAAAAAATTCCAGTTTGCCCTTTTGACAATAATACACTTTTTTAATATCATTTAAATGACAGTGAATTGAAACGTGAATTTTGGTATGCGCGTATAACTTAAAAAACAATTTTTAAAATAATTTGATAATCCCCCTTTTCGGAAGTTTTGTTTAAAAAATGTGTGTTTTATAGGAAACGCTACATATCATACTTTGTTTTGTTCTAGAAAAAATCGCGGTTTTTCCGTATGACAAGTCGCATATTATGTTGGCGCATCGCTTAGGGCGTCACATATTCAAATCACACAAAGAGTACCGGGGGTTAGAATTCCCGGTACGACATGAAACGACAAGGGAACATCACCAGCAGCAGGAGCAACCCGGTGGATCAAAAGAAACAAAGGAGCAGCAGGAGTACCCGGGTGGGTGGTCGACGGAGTGGGACGGCGAGGAGTGCACTTCGTATTTAGATTTCCTCCGGGAACGGGAAGAAGAACAACGCAAGGAACAGGAACAATGGGATGGTCGACTGAATCGACATAAAAAGAAGAAGAAACTCCTCGCCAGACCAATTTTATAAATAAAATAAAATAAAATATATTAAAATTCAAGTTTATTTAATTATCCTCCGGATCCACCACGTCACCGCGCCGCACCGTCACCGCCCTCTACCGGGGGGGCCTACGACGGTCGGAGCGCGCGACATCTAGCAGCGACGGGCGGAACCGGGGCAAAACAGGACGCTACACAAGCTGGGTGGGGGGCGGAGCGCACTCTGGT